GACATTAGACACATGGAAAATTTTGTAAAACTGTGGGGATTTAAGAAGGTTTTATGCATCATTTTTGATCAGGGAGAACTACAATTCAACAAGCTCCTCATGTGAACATTTTGCTTTAAGCTTGTCCTGATCACCTTTTTTTAACACTTATTGTGTAAATAAAGTGTTGTTAAAAAAATCTTCTAATTCTTCTTCTAGTTCTTCTTCAACAGGACTTGGTCGGCTCCACCCGATGCGGCAAAATAGCCTGCAGGTACCGAACGGGGGGGGGGGGGGGGGGCATCCCATCAGGGTGCTCCTCGTCGCTGCGGACAGCCAACTGTAGGTGCCGAGGGACGAGCCTGTCCTTCCGCTGTCATAAGCCATGTTTCTTGCTAGTTCCAGGATCTCAGTGGTAAGAAACTCAAGCACAGCTGGCAGGTAGATGAGAATGTGTCCACAGAACATCCTTTTCAACTCATTTGAGGTTTGGGGCTGTAGTTGAGATATTATTTGAGCTTTTGAGATGTTAATCAGCTGCAGTTGGTTGTAGAAAACTGCCTTGTTGCCATGGTTACGCATCATAACAAATGTCTAAAAGTAAAAATATTTCAGTAAAAATCCTTCCAGCTACACAGCATCCGATACCAGACGAAACTATCATCCAAAAAAATGTAACTTACATCCAGAAAAAGAGGAATTAAAGTTTCCAAAAGCAAAATCTCAGAATGAAAGTAACAGAGCTGCTCCAACATGCAGCCACCTTGAGCGGTGCAAATCTAGAACAAACAAAAAGCAAAACGCAAAAAAAAAAAAAAATTCATCCAATGAAGCAGAATGGTGCAGGGAGTGGAAAGGAGAGACCATTTTAAGCCACAGCACCTCCCAGAGTGCGGGAGTGGGATTCCTTTTTTCAAAAGCTTTCACACCCAGCCACATAGAAGTGCAACACATTGTTCAGGGAAGGTGTCTCATATGCCCCTTTTCCATTAGTATCTGTAGTACCGGTACAGCACGGCTCTACTCTACTCGGTACAGTACAGGTTGTGTTTCCATTATGCTTTCAGTACCGGTTCCAGTGGGCGGGGTTCAAATTGACGTCACCACCTCTCACCAGCTGGTGGCGTTGAGACGCTGAAACTGTTTTCAGTACAGGGTGAGAATTTATGTTATTTTGTTATATATATATATAAATATATATATAAATATATATATGTGTGTATATACATATATATACATATATACACATTTATATGTATATGTGTATGTGTGTTTGGATAAATTGAGTTTTCAAGATGGCCGCGCTCAGAGCAGTTGCAGCTTCACAGGCTCCCGGTACATCCCAGTTTTTAGAAGTTTTGATAGTGACTCTGTGCCTGACTCCGCGCGATTTATGCGTGTGAACTATAGCCGAACCGAACTGATGAGAATAGGAGTGGATTTGCCACGAAATATAGCAGAAATCAGCAACAAACTCAAAGCTACGCTCGGCAGAATGCAGATCTTAAAGTCATCTACCTGGAAGCTGCAGCAGAGGCGTTCCAGCGGGCAGAAGAGGAAGCGCTGCTCCCGGCTTAAGAGGAGAGGATGCCGGGCAGGGGTTATGGTGAGGCTACGAGCTAACGCTAAAGCCGGTAAACTCCCCATGCCGTCTCTCTTTCTGTCGAATGTCCGCTCGTTAGACAACAAGATGGATTTACTTCGTCTGAGAGTGGGCGCCTCAGAAGAGATGAAGAAGTGTGCAGTGCTTTGCCTCACGGAAAAGTGGATTACAAGCGAAACGCCGGACAGTCTTCCAGCTAGATGACAGACTTTTTTTTCGAGCGGACCGCTGCAGCGAGCTAACGGGGAAATCACGGGGAGGCGGAGTATGCATTTACGTGAGTAAAAGTTGGTGCACGAACTGTACTGTTGTAAATAGCTCATGCTCGAAGGCTTTGGAGCAAATAACAGTGAAATGTCGGCCACATTATCTACCCCGAGAGTTCACGGTGACTTTCATCTCTGTCGTTTACATTCCTCCGGACGCTAATGCTAATGAATCACTGCAGGAGCTTCATGATATCATCAGCTCGCTGCAGAACAAACACCCCGAGGCTCTTTACATTGTAGCCGGAGACTTTAACCACGTGAATCTAAAGGACTGTCTCCCAAGCTTTAATCAGCATGTGACGATTCTGACATGTGGAGACCACACGCTGGACCGTGTTTACATGAACGTAAAAGATGCATACAAAGCCGAACCCCGCCCCCACCTAGGACTGTCAGACCACATCTCAATCTTCCTGGCTCCTGCTTACATGCCCCCGCTGAGACGCTCCAGACCGGTACAAAAGGAAGTTAAATGCTGGATCCAGGACAGTGGCCACATACTGAGAGATTGTTTTGATCGAACAGACTGGCAGGTTTTCAGAGAAGCTGCTGAAAATGGAGGTTTGCTTGATCTTGACCAATACACATCCTCAGTTCTGGGTTACATTAGTACATGTACTGACACAGTCTCCACTATCAGAAATGTTAAAAGCTACCCAAACAGAAAACCTTGGCTGAATGCAGAGGTGCATACCCTGCTGGAAGCCAGGAACACTGCCTTCAGGTCTGGAAACTCAGAGGAGCTGAGTAGGACAAGAAAAGAGCTGGTTGCTGGTATTAAGAGGGCCAAGGCCACATATGCAAAGAGGATCGAGGGTCAATTCATCTCACAAGACCCTCGGAGCATGTGGAGGGGCATTAAGTGCATAACAGATTATAAAGGAAGGAGTGAACAATGCCCCAAAGACCAATCTCTGCCTGATGCCCTCAACAAGTTCTATGCATGCTTTGAAGACCCGAACAGACCACCCAGCACCAGACTCACCTCGCCACCGGATGAAGAGCATCTCAGCGTGACCTCAGCAGAAGTTAGGAGTACCTTCAGGAGGATTAATCCGCACAAAGCGACTGGCCCAGACAACATCCCCGGAAAAGTGTTGAAGGAATGTGCTGATCAGCTCTGTGAGGTGCTGGCAGACATCTTTAACACCTCACTTACCCTGGAGACAGTTCCCACCTGCCTGAAGACTGCCACCATCATCCCAGTCCCAAAAAGCTCTACAGTGACTGGTCTGAATGACTATCGGCCAGTGGCCCTCACCCCGATAGTCGCTAAATGCTT